GAACCTCCTGACAAAACAGCTTCTTCAGCAAAGTCGGGAGCAACCAGGAGGAGCCACCAGCTATCAGTCAGTGTAAAAAGTCGGATACATTTTCGATTGGATCGCAAACACCATACTCGCCGCTTATTACTAGATCTCGAATTTTAGGACAAATGCATATTTAGTTCCTTTAGGAGATCGTGGAAAATAATGGCAGATATTTGCGATCATGAAAAAATATATCTACTGAAAGCATCTAACAGTGCCTAAAATGTTCTATGAGGACGGTTGTTGGCTATTTGAATATTTTAAAAAATCTAAAACTCCCTAAAACAAGTAATTTTGAAGAATTATGATATTTTAATTAATCATTTTTTTTAAATTGTAGTACCGAAACGCTAATACTTTCCCGGACTTCCTGAAACGCGAGTATTCCCTGTTCGAATGGCAATCGACTAAGCACCGAAATCTCTTACCCAATACATCGAATATTAGGTGCTTTGTAATTCAGTACAAAGAGGATGTTTCAGGCTGTATCCTATCAGCACGCACTTCTTAGGCAATAGCATCCACTCCCGGTGCAGCTGCGATATTGACAGGTTGAGAATGAAAAGTATAAAAGGATGAAAGTGGATAAAATAATATGCTTGAAGTCACTATCATAAATGTAAATTTACTTCCCTTATTAATAAAAAATGTGCCTAATTTAATCGTTTTTTATCAGTTTTAGATGCCAGGAACATAACTTCTCATGCCTAATGTTTTTAAACACGTGGTTTAGTAATTTTGTAACTTACTTTAAGTGCCTAAACGTCTCGTTCATGTCTAATTTTATAATTTTGTTATCAATTTTAGGTCATTAAATCATCACTTTTTGTGTCTAAAATTCTGAAGTCTACTTATTAAACTGGATAACGTTTTTAGAAGTGTAGAAGTGTAGAAGAACACTTATTTAGAAGTGTAGATTTTTTGTTTTTTCAAATTTGAAGCTGTTAAATTTTTATTCAATTATTTATTTGTTTGTTTTTAAGGTAAAATGTTTCATCTCAATCATTAAAATTATTTTTAAAATAGAACAAAAATGTGATCACTAAACATACAAGATTTAATGTCTATTATCTACCTTCTAATTTAGACCCATTCAAATAGGCTAATATAAGGTAAAATGGTTTTGTAATCTCTCTTACATTGGCCGTAAAAACTGAGATGCAAATAACCTTTTTATGTACATTTGACTTTTAGTACTCTTTACTCTTTTCTTAAACTAAATGGGTGGGAACAATTAAAAAAAGAATGTAAATGCTAACACATCAATTATTCTTTTATTCACCATCTTAAACGCAGGTAACGATCGGTTTATGTCGACTTGTAAATAGTTTATATCTGTATGTCGAAATGATAAAGAGTGCATTAATTGTCTCTATTCTAATGCGGAGCTGATGATAACCCAGTATTTTAATTGAATAGATATTTCAGCTGTAGTCTATAATTCTGCCCAGAAACGTCATTGTCTGTGGTTTCAATTATACCGAACAGGCATTTTTAGTTTAATAAAGGACGCTCGCTTCATGCGCTAATGATTAAATGTTCATTTTAGGCACTATACATATTCTTTAATTTCAAAAGGGCATGGAATAAGTTCATAATTAATTTCAAGAGTGTCAGTAAAGTCTGCCGATCCTCCCACGCCCAAATCCCCTCCCCCTTATAGCCATCGGTCTCTGCGTCGACAAATAACAACCGTGACTGTAATGCTTCGTCATCTATTATATTAAAATTAGACATAAAAATTACCATCCCAATTAATTCAACAACTCTGCTTGGCAAACCCTTGACATCCACAGCAAAGGACTCAAGCATACGTTTTAATTTAGACTCATGAGGCTTCCGAAGAATATAATCGAATTCCTCAAAAATAAATACATTATGAAATAAGGTCAACTAAGCGAAACAAAATTTTCCAGGTCCCGGTAAATAAACATTCTTAGAAGTTTTTCTCCCACCGTATAACATTTCTACATAACGCGACTTCCCCACAGCGCGGGGGGGGGGGGAAGAAGTTACCAAACTTTAAATCAGTTCCAATTTGTGATTTGTTTGTTACTCCTAGTAATTTAGTTAGAGTTTTAAAAGAGCAGTATTTTGAGTTTTGACACAAACTCAAAACAAAACAAAACAAAACAACAAAACAAACAAAAATAGACTTAAATTAGACATTTGCCTAAAAATTCTAAAACTAGTTATCAAAAGTCAGTTTTGTACGTGTGTGTGTCTAAATATCGATTATATTCTCATATTTAAAGATAGAATTTACAGTAGTTAGTAAAGTAATACAACATAATATATTGGCGGTAGGTCATTGTTCATCTCATCGCTCATTTGCTCAATGTGTTTACCTTTCTAAGTCGTACCGTATTTTAGTTCCTTTCAAAGTGGGAAATCAATAAGTATTAACTAAGAATTTGGGAAAAAATGGAGTAAGAACACTTCACACAGGAGCCGTGACAGAAAGTTTCTTCATGAGACACGGGTTTCTCGCAGTTGCGCAAAGCTTAGCCCGTTTCGCGTTTTTCATTCCGTCCTTACGTCCTCCCCGGACGTTAAGTGTGTGGGTACCAGGACAGAGTGAATATGAACTTCTCAACTCGCGCATGAATGACGAATTCACATTTGATTCACAAAATATGGCTAGGAAAAAAAAAGCAGCGAAACTAATGGGCCATTATCTTCGCCAAATGAAAAGTATTTTGAACACGATTCTTTTTTGTTTTAATTATTTATAAAAATGAAAACGTTTTATGACCTTTTTGAATACGTTAGCTTTTAATGTCATTGCTCCTATGTACACGTAAAACAACAGTTTTGATGAGTAACCGATAAATGCGTTATGATATCTTAAATTATTCATATGCTTTCAAGGAATTATCTTTCGGAATAAATGTACTTGCATCGTGGATTTAAGCTGTAGAATGTTGTTTATTAAAGATGTCCGTTCGTTGTTAATGTGGTATTGATTTTGAAACTTACTACTTCCAATAAATCAACGGTGGTGGCAAAATACGGCCATGATTTATGGGAGTGCAAGGAATATATCGTAGGTTTTTAAGCATTTATGTAATTTAATACAATTTTCGGTGTACATATGTAAATTCGAGGTATTACTGCCATCTTACTCGGTACCTACAGTTCGTGAAGTCACTATTACCACAGAATGTGGAATGTGAAACTCTAGAGTGAGTAAATTGAATATCAAGTGTCAGAGCTAGTCTATCAGGAGGAGAGTTCGGAACAAAGATGCATGAGTAAATTCATAGGGCCAGACATTTTCTTAGAGACAGACTGTAAGCGTAATAGGTAATAAGTACAAAGAAATTTGTAATTAAAGAATAATTAAATATTTGCTCGCACACATAAAGGTCTTGTGACATACTGAAATTTTAAAACCCTTGCGGAGGGCTACGAATCCAGATCTTGAAATTAGAGTATAAACAGGGTTCTCATAAATTGTGGTATATAGCAGTCAATGAAGTTATTTTGATTGAAAATAATATTCCATTAACATAATATATTGTTTGTTTTAAACGCATAAAACATGCTGGTAAAACATGGAAAAAATGTGCCATTTATTTCTTTTTGTTCCTGTAAGGAAGCGGCTTTTAAAAAGCCTTTTTAAATCTCTAGTTGCGCTGTGAGGTTTTGGAGAAACTATGTTCATCCCATAACTTATGTTCTAATAAAAATATAAGCTTTTTCACAATAATGAACATTTAAAATATAATATTTTCATTTTAAAAACAAATAATAGGTTAATGTGATAGAGCTCAAATTTGTTTTAATTGTCCTAACAAAATAAATTCCCTATATAATATTTTTGTTAATATGTTTGGTTTTTGCTCTACAAAATGTGTTATTATGCGAGCATTTTGAATGAACTTCACCAAGTCATTGTTTTTGTTATTATAGGACGCGTTGTGATGGTTGCATTTCCTGCCGCCGCGGGGACTGGTCCGAGGGTCACGGTCAAGTTCACTGCTACAGGTGAAGTCTAGGGCAAGTCAAAGGGAGTAGGGGAGGGCGGAAGGTTGGCCCGGGCCAAGGACGGGGAGGCCGAGGAACCGCGAAGTCGAGGGCAGGAGGCGTCTGGCGGAATGTGACAACACGTCTCGTCAGCGGCGCCGGCCCCCGAACCGGGAAGCAGCCTCTGCCGGGGACCTGGCATCGGGAGCAAGTTCGCTACCGTCGGAGGCTGGGGAGGTTAATGGTGGATGGGGAGGACACGGGTGGAGGGAGGGATTGAAGATGGGAGGGAGGGGCCGGGTTCTGGAATGTCAAGAGCGCGAAAGGCTGAGAAGTCCTGAAGTCGCGGGAGTCAGGTTGCATAGAGGAGTTATTCTAAGAAGGGACCGCTTTGACAGGTCTGGAAACAAATTAACGTCATGTAGGGAGATGGCATTACAAGAGATAATGATTAAGCCACTTACAAATGAGATAACTATAAAGGAACGCACTGACAAATTAGACGCAATGGGCATAACCTGCAGTTGTTGCCACCAGTGGGCTAGAAGTTGCTGTCATAGCGATCCCTTCTTATAGTAATCTCTCTATGACAAGGAATAAGAATGTCCGGGTAACAATTCGCAATTAACTGGTCGGGACCATGTCATTTCGGGTAAGTTCGCTGCTCCAGGAAGCATCGAGACCAGGGTCCGCTGCCCTAACCGGCAGCCAGGATGTTACGAGGGGGGGGGGAGGACGCAGGAGGCGACTCGGAATGCAACGGGCGCGACGGGTCGCGAGAGCACGAGGCGGTGTACAAGAGGTGATAACACGGCGCGCGGCGGGCGCGCGGCGGCGGCGGCGCGCGCTGGCGGCGCCCGCGGACGACCGTGCGAGGCGGCGATCACGTGACCGACGCGGGCGCGCGCGCAAGGCGCCGCAATGCTGTCTCCCGTTCCTGGCAGACGCGCGCCCGGAGGCGGAGAGGGGGGAGCTGGGGGGGAGGAGGCCGGCCGGGTCGGCGGCGGCGAGGGGGGCTCCGCTCCGCCATTCCGTCCGCGACCGCCCCAGCGCGAGGAGCTATCCGTCGCGCCCTCCGAGTTGCTGCCTGCTGAGGACCGCCCGCCGCCCCCTTCGCTGTTGGAATGTAGTCGCCTGCGTGGAACAAGAGCTGCGCCGCTCGAGGTCGAGTATCGAAGGCCCCAAGGTGAGTGCATCCCACCCCACCCCGCCGCGTCGCGCCAGACGGACCCAGGCGCGGCCGTTTGAATGGGCCGCGGCCCACGCTATGCTCTTGCACGCTTGATGCACATCTCCGAACATTTACGAAACGTTTTAAATTGAAGTAATTCCAAACAACGTTTTTATTGTGCTTCATATTTTGTAGCGTGCGTGGGAATTAAGTTACTAAATGAATACAATAGATCTTAAAACAAATACTTTCTCAAGGTTTATTTTGTTTATTTAGCACCAGAAATTTCAGTAATTAAAGAGGTCAATGTAAAGATTAGTTTGTTTTCATTGCTGGCAGAAATATTTCTGACGCGATTACAGAATAAACTATAAAAGATAGTGGGACTCAATTAAATTGCTTTCAATGAAAGGCATAAAACCCTACGAACAACGCTACTTAACTGTGTTGGAATTATTTTAATAATGTAACTTGCGTAATTAAAAATGTTTAGTTGATGTATGTTATAAAATCCTTTGTTTGAGAGACAAATGCCGTGCAACTCGTCGGTTGAATGTGAATTAAATTGTGTAGAAAAAATTCTCATCACATTGTGCAACAAGTGTGCAATTGCTCTATGCTCTGTAAACAGATACAATCACCAGTTGCGGTTGCCTGCACTGAGTTGTTACTGCATTATAGTTGAGTAATTTTAATGACAATAGATAACACGAAATGACTTAAGTACTGTTTATTTTGGTTGATTGCCTGCAATGCAATTTTACAATATTGGCTTGTCATTTGTAATTTTTCGAATTGTAAATATCAGATTAAAAATTCATCGAATGACATTTTTACATCGAATTCAATTCTATGTCTCTGACGTTTTTAGAACTGTATGGTACCTTCAGTTGCGTATGTGATTTTGATAGGGAATATGGATATACTTTTCTTCCACCATGCATCCGCGAGTCTCTCTCTTTGTACTGTCGTAAGTTTTAATTACAATTAGGGCAACTAATGTTTTCGCCTTTTTGAGGCTCATGGCTCACCACAGAACAGGAGTCAACATTTTATTTCCCAAGAAGCTAAAGAAATCACTCAACAAAAGAAAATCCAAGTCTAAACTGCCCGAAATAATAAAAAGAATTCCGATCATTCAAATGGAAATGATCTTCAAATAAGCGACTTTCGCCGTTATGATTGTTTACTTCGTGCCTCAAATATTTGCAGTTGGTATAGCCCAAAACTTATTTAGCCCCTATTCTTAGTTGTAATATGTAAAATGTAGTGTTCTGCCACCAGGTTCTATACCTACCTGCAGAAATAATAAATCTATCTATCTATCTATCTATCTATCTATCTATAATCTAAACCGATCATACATCTTTGCACCACAAGAAAAATGATTTCTTTAAGAAATTGTTCTTGTGAAGGATACATTTTTTTACGTCATCGCCGCCATTTATGTCGCAGCCAGACAATACTGTACCATATTCTATATCGGATGTATTGTGAAGAGGCTCATGATTGGTATTTTTACTGAAAGAAAAAAAATAGAAAATTTCCTAAACCTTTTTAAAGTCCCCCCTCTCATAAGTACACCAAAAAAAGTAAGACTGTATTTGAGATGCCACTTTCCTAGTGCACGGACGATGTGTGTGTGTGTGTGTGTTTGTAAGGCGGGATATATTGTTTTAAACAAAAATGGGCAGGAACGTAGGGAGCGAGCTGTGCGGCTGGGCACGAGCCAGCGTTACCGCACGCGGTGGGCGTGGAGCCCGGATGGCGCGGAGGCGGAGGAATTCGCGTGTTGCGGAAGGTTCTGGAGCACGATCCGGAGCCCGCTCTCTGTTTGGCAGCGCGCGCGCGCACCCCCCCCCCCGGTGTTGCGCAACACGTGGAAGACCCCGCAATCGAGCGCCGCGGCGCCGGCAGCGCCCCGGGAGGGGAAGGAGGGGGGAGATTGGGCGCCGGTGATTCACCGCGTCGCCGGAATCCCCCTCCGCCCCGCCGTCCTTCCGTTGAGCATCATCTCCACACAGATCGCGCTGTCCATTTTCCTCGTAACCGATGTCGTTCCCGGAACTTCCTTTTTGGCGAATGAACATCCTTCCTCGACGGTGTTATCCTGCGTGTGGTTTGGTCCGCGAAGTCACAGGTCGACAGTCTCGCTAAGATCGGGTGGAGGGGGTTGTATATGGAATTGGGGGATAGACGACCAATTTCCCGGCTCTAAGTGTATGAGAGAGAGATGGGCACGTGATCCGCGACCCGTTTTATAAGGGGGGCATGAGACATTTCGTACGATATCAGGGAATTGATTTGGGGTTCACGGAAACCAGAGCAGCGCGGCCAGCGGCTGATATGTGTCTTCTAGAACGTGAGCTCGTGTCAAAAATTCTGCCACTCACGGGACTCCAGACTCTAGAACATCTCGGCATACGAAACTGTTGCAGACTCGAAACGTAAATGCACCCATGTACCCGATTTGACAAATAATCCAAACAAAATCGACCTGCATCTTTTCACGAAACTTCATCAACTTTTCATCATGGAATGTGAATGACCTTGATATTCTTTGTACATTATTCACCTATTCCGGGGGGGGGGGCATGGCGCTCAAATTTAGAGACCTTCATTGCTTCGGAATGGGTTTTAACACGCACCTCTTTCCAGTCCTACCTCTTTGTATGTGATAGCTCGTGCTACGATCGTCCAGGATAAACACTTTTTTTTCATCATTATTTACGCGAGGAAATTCCTCAGATCGGTTGACTTTGGCACCAAAACCTCCTGGTCGGCAAGGACGAGTTATTCTTGAACTGGCGTGGAAGGATTTCCAATACGTTGTAGGCGAATCGATGTCATTCGATCTGTAATTGATTAAACGGAATTCCCATGCGATTTGGAAGATATTTGTTCAAATACAATAGAGAGAAGGTATATTAATATTATTCTGTATTAATAAACATTGCTGCGGTATTTACATAACATAAGTAAGAAACAATATTCCTTTCAAACACTTCTTTGTTATTGTTAATTAACCATAATTATTTTTAAATACTTCGATACGTACCAGGGCTTTCAACAAAGGTAAAACATTGTCAGATAAATATTGACTTATGTTTCTGGAGAGTATTTCTCATTATAGTGGGGAGAGCTGCGGTCAAGGAAAAAATATGATTTGCGATCTCGATTCTGCCATCTCCTTGCTTTTCCTTCTGACTCTGTTTACAATGTTTTCCTTTATTTTGGTTCTGTTTACAATAGCATGGAGTCTTCAAACAAGTTTATACGTGTGTGCGCTTTTCAAAGCGTTGAAGGCTCTCTGTGATTCATGTCGAACTTTCATACGTTCTTTCCGGTTCAGGGAATTTCAAGGAAGTTCACCATGCGTAAAGTTTTTTTGCATAGGTCTGAGGCAGAATATGTAATTTATTTTTGGACGCGTGTAAACGTGTTATACGAAATCTGTCTCAAATGAAATTAATAGAGATGAAATATGTTATAATCCATAGTTTATTTTATACAACAATGAATGGATGGTTAGACACTTCGTCGATGATAAAATGTGAATATTTTCTCATTTTCCACGCATTCGAGTAACATGGGATGAAAAATACGTACGCTTTTATGATTGGGGGGGGGGGCATTATCGCTTATGCTCGAAAATATCGAACGAATCCACATTGTACGCCTCGAGATCGAAAAAATAAAGGCGGAGAGTGTCACAAAATCGAGAATCGACGTTTGCTTGTTATAGGCGCAAATTGTTTTAATAATCGTGGAGATCGAAGGTCGGGACCTAATTGACAACTGGGAAATGTCGTCAAATCGAAGCGTCAATTGGGCGTTAGAGGTTGGCTAAAAATATGCAAAGATTATTTTCTTGATTTGAGTGTGTTCTACCGAATTGGGAAGAATAAGGCATTAGAACTCTTTTTTTTCTAATTTGCAATTTCTTTGATAATTCTAATTGCAATTTCTTTCATTTCTTCAGCCTCGCGATTCAGACCTTTAATTCTTTTCACTTCGTATTTACGTCAAACATGTACGAGAACTCTGGGATATCGTGTTCTTCCGCAGGTTATAGGTTTGCCACTTGGGGCTAAAATTACTACTGTTAGCTGTGATCGAAAATACTTTCACTTTTTTTTCGCGGAAACGATACTCTTTGAGCAGTTGGAGCATTTTATCTTTCCTCAAAACGAAATAAGAGGGGGGAAAGGGTGCAGGAAGTTATATTAGAAGGAAATTTCAGGTTTTCTGTTTACAGTTTTGTTTACAGTAAAGACATCTTCTGTTTACAATTTGAAAAACCTTTCCCCCCTTTTTCCCCTTATATAAATTAAGATAGAAATATTTTTCTACATCTGAGAGCAAGATGTATCAAAAATATCAAACGCTTATATTTTTTGCGGATTATTGAAAATTCTTATTGCCATTTATTACAGTAGTATGATCTTTCTTTTCATAATGTTTGTTATGAGTTCATTGACAGCTATTTGCTTTTTTCTGACTCGGGAAATTGAAATAGTAATCATTGAAGTAGATTGAAATTTACTTCCGATGCGGGCTAAATGTAAACAAGTAACAGCTTCTGTGACTTGCGAAGACCTAAACTGGGAAGAAATGTAATCATATTCAACCATAACTAGGTAGACATGTTGTGATAAGGCTTCAATGGCACTCGATGTCCCTACGGCAGAATTGGATCGATTTTTGTCGCCTGATTGACTCCAAATTGTAAAAACTATCTAACGAAATTAAGAATTTTATCTGCTATTTAGTTACCCTATTTCCAAGTGCATAATTTAATTCTACATAGATATGATTCGAATGTTTAGAAATTGCCACACCCTTGGCTGATTACTGTATATTGGTTTTTGCCAGACATTACTTTCTACATGATTTTTACCCTTATTCACTGACTGAATTCTCATTTTCATTTGTTGCAACATTTTGAGGACTTAAGCTAGTAAAAAAATCATTATAAATTATTTACAGTGTAGAACTCTAAAGAAAATATTTAA